GCGTGCAGCGCGTGCGTCCTCGGGGCGCCGTGGCGCCTCTGCCCCCTTGCGTGCGCCCTCGTCGCCGTGGGTGTGAGGTTTCTGGACACCCGGACCCGAGTCCTTTCCCGGATGCTGCTTTGTTTTCCTCTTGGCCCGCGGCTTGTCTTTCCCCCGCATCGGTGTCTTGAAGCCCGTGAGGCGTTGGTCTTCGCAGTCTGGTTTCTCAGCTGCTGCTTCGGTGCATGCACTTTTCTCCCTTCCAAGAAACCGCCGCGGAGCCCGAGCCAGGAGACAGGCCCTGCGCCGCCTTCTCAGCCGCACGGGCCTCGCTCGCGCGGTGAGGGCGGCCTGCTGTCGCCCTCTGTGCTGGTGACAGGTAAGTGTCCGGCGCAGCCCGTGGCCGGTGGCCCTTCCTTCACTTGACCTTCGTCCCTTGCTGAAGACTGTCCACCCTCCACGGCACTGCCCCTGTCCCGCTTGACATCTAAAGCTGGGGGTGATGTCTGGACTCGGGCCTGCGCCCCTGGGCCGCACTGTGCTGCCTGTGACTGGCCGTGCCGTGACTTTTGAAGGTAGGAAGTTGAGCCCTCAACCCTGTCTCCGTTGTTCGTTCTTCCTCTGACCTCTTGGGCCGGCTTGTCAGTGTCTGTCAAAACGCGCCTGCGTGCACACAGCCCCGCTGGCGTTGGTGGGGTCTGCGTGAGCGTGTCTCGCAGGGTGGACAACACGGCACTCACTCAGTTCCCCGGGCGCTCTGGTCTTTTGTAATTTAACAGTGCACAGTTCTCAAACGTAAGCTTCTTTCAGAGTATTTTATTTTTCACGCTACTGTGAAATAGAAATCTCTGCTTTCGTTTTCACATTGCTCATTGCTGACACACGTAGATGCCTGTGTGTCACGACACTGCCTCTGTATGGTGTTGTGTACAGTTTTGTGTACGGTGGGTTTCGGCGTGGTTTGTTTTGTCAGTTGCACAGACTGCATGTCAGACCAGGCAGCCGTGCAGGGCGCATGGTTCCTACTCTCCACCCGTGTGCCGCCGGCCTTGCTCTGGCCAGCCGCGGCCAGGCCTCCTTCCAGCTCAGGCTGAGCGCAGGGCTGCGATGGACCGCCGCAGCAGATTTGCTCTCGGGTGAAACCGGCTGAAGCCACAGCACTGCCACAGGCGGTGCCCGGAGGGCTGCGGGTGAGGCTAGATGCCCGGAAGTCGGTGACAGGTCTCAACATTGGGGGGGGGGCGCAAGGATAAAGTATACACGTGTAAATAAGGGCCGCAAAAAGGACCCCAAAATCAATCAAGCCTCCGGAATCAAAACTTTTGCAACCTCAACAATTGGGGGGCAGAAGAATCCGGCCCCCAACCCCCCCAACCCCCAAGAAGCCCGGCAACCCCCAAAGGGGGTCTTCAGCAGCCCGCCTCGGAGAGGAGTTCAGAGGATTTGCAAGTAGCCGAGCGACAGAAACCCTCGGCTCGGCGGCCTGGCGGGAAGGCGGAGGCTCAGGGCGCGCTGAGCAGCCAGCGGGGCGCCTCTCCGGTCGCCTCCCCCCGCCCCGCCGCTGCTGCTCTGAGCATCCCTTTCAGGTGCTGCGCTGGGCACCTCGGCAGCCCAGAAGTGTCTCCCGTTACGTCTCCTGCCGTCTTCGTGAGTCAAAACTGGCCTGGAGTCTGGCTGCCGCGTGCTCGGGTCGCAGAGGCAGGAAGGCGCCGCTTGGGCACGTGGCCTGTTGCCGGGGAGAGAAGCCCCGTGGCCTCCGCGCGGGAAGGCGCCATCTTAGCTGCTGTCGTTTAGGACTGGAACCCACTGAGCAATTTTGGCTGAGCTCAAGGTCATTTTTGGTCTCAGTCGCCTTTTGTCCCTGGTTTGTTCAGTAAATGCCACCATTGTCCCCTGAGCCTGCGTGGCCTTGCAGTCGCGCTCGCTGCTGGAGGACTCAGACAGTGACGAGTAAGTGTCTCTGGCCAGTGTGGTCGCCGCCCCGCACCGGGGAAGCCCGGCAGCCTCTCCGCTGGGCGTGGTCCTGTGGGTGTTTCAGAAGCACCTTTATCTGGGCCCGGTGCCGCCGCCTCCTTCCTGGGGTGTTGCTTTTCACTGTGATGAGATGTTGGGCTTGGTCACATGGGCTGTGCTTCTCTTGCGCCGATCACGAGGTTCGTTCGCGAGCCCGTTCACGTGGCACGTTACGCCAACGGCGGGCCGCTCCGCTGGCCGGGCCCTCCTGGGACAGGCCCTGGCGACCGTGCCCACAAGCCTCTCTGTCGCTCGTCCACCCTGATGTTTTGTGAGGTGCGTGCTCACGCCGCCCGAGGGCACTGCCGCCCGGGGCCGCTCCCGGGCTCTGTCTGCTTCCACACACAGCTGGAAGCTTTCCTGCTGTTTCCTTGTGAAGAGTTGGTATTGTTCACCTGCTTCTTTAACTGCCTGGTTTCTCTCTGCTGTGTGTTTTTAACTACTGGTTCATGTCTTACCTATTTGCATTTCCTAATCTTAGTTTCAGTAATTTGTGTCTTCAGGAATTTTAGCTAAATTAGCTACAGGACTTTAGCTAAATCACATAACTTATTGAAAGCTTTTTTTTTTTTAATAAAATATTTTATTTATTGGGCCCTCGCTGCTGGTGCAGCAAGTTAAAGCGCAGCACTAGGAAGCTCTGAGAAGCTGCTGCAGCATGAGTTCAAACCCCAGCCAAGGAGTGACCCAGATAGCGGGCAGACCTCTCTTGACCAGCCCACTGCCCCCCTCAGCAGTGTATTCCAGTCGATCTGCCTGTTCTGCTCCCCACTCTGTCTCTGGTGAACCCACTACACCTCTGGCCTGTACCCAGGTTCAGTAAGGATAAATAAATAGATCTTTTTAAAAAAAAGACTTTATGCACGTAAGACCAGGCCAGAGGTACAGGTGGGAGGACTCACCAGAGAGAGAGAGAGTGTTGGGAGCAGAACTGGCAGATAAACTGAAATCCACTGCTGAGGGGCAGCGGGGAGGCAGGAGCGGTCTGCTGGGCCCTGGGGCCACTCCCTGGGGGGAGCAAAGCCACGCTGCAGGGGCTGGGACAGGTACACAGAGCTGCGCCTTACCCTGTTGCGCCACCAGGGGAGGGCCCTGGAACCAGTTCCTCACAGTATTCCTTCATTTCTTTAAAATTTCTGTAACATCAATCAATACTGAGCTCCAGTATCTTACTCCTGATTTTGAAATGTGCATTTTCTTGTTCTCAGCTCAAAGGTGACCGGTTTTGGTGATCACTTCCTGACTTCACAATCATGTCTGCTTCTGGTTTCCGTTTTACTGTCCTCCACCCCAGTCCTGACTGCCTTATCCTTTTGCATTTTTCTGTATAGGATTGAAAATGGTACAGATCATCCGCAGCCAGCCCCTTCCCCTTTCTGTTTCTAGTTGGCAGAGCGGAGGGGCACATTTCAAAGGGAGCGCCCCTAGGGTGTTTTCCTCCTCCTGAGGGCCCCCCAGCCCAGCGCTGGGGCCTTCTCTGAGGCTTCGCAGGGGCCTGGGCCTGGCCTGGAGCCGAGAGCAGGGAGAGTGTGGCCGTGTGCCAGGACAGCTTTGTTTACAAAACAAGCCACTGGGGCCTTGGTTTGCTAACTTCCGCTCCAGGCTGTTAAGCAAAATAAACAGTGTTTTCTGAGGCTACTGGCGCTGGCCAGGCCTCCAGGGCCACCTGCGGTGTGCCAGGGCGACCGCTGGAAACCCAGGTGCAGTGTGCCAGGGCGACCGCTGGAAACCCAGGTGCGCTGTTCAGCCCCGGTGAGTTTGCATACAGAGGCCTGTGGGCCCTCGGGCCTGTGGGCCGTCTGGAGGGGGCACGCGCCCGCGGGGGGGCTCGTTGACCCCTGCAGTCGCGCGTGAGGCCAGCCTGAGCGCGAGCTGAGGGAAGCGCCAGGCGCGGCGCCCTCCGGGCCCAGCCCTCCCCAAGCCGCGTCAGGGGCGAGGCTTGGCTCTGCTCTGGGCAGCTCTGCCAGGCAGCGCCCCCGCCGCTGGTCCTCTCTCGCCGTCACCCCAGAAGCGCGCTGCCCCTCCTGCAGCGCCATGGTCCCGCCCTCGGCACCACCCCGCCTCAGGCCACTCGCTGCGGATGCTGCGGCAGCCCTGCACCGGGTAGCCCTGACCCTAACCCTCACTGGCCACCCACCCTCTTGGGCGTGGGCGCCGATGCTGTTGCTGACGCTCTGACCACAGCGGAGGCGCCATTCCCTGGCAGTTCAGGCCCTGCCCACCTGGAGCGAGGCCTGGAGAGGAGCACCCCAACCGCCCTGTAGGTTGGGGGTGCTAGCCTAGCAAGGGAAGACAAGGAGGAGCCTGGGGACCGACTGTTGATTAGGCAAGAGGGAGTGTGGATGACCACAGGCCGGGACAGCTGGGGTCGGTCAGGCAGCTAAGGAACAGTGGCCCCTGGGAGCAGGCCTGTCCACTCCTCTCAAGAGTGCGGCCTCGCCATGGGAGGACCCCGAGATCTGCTTTCCCCACTGCCGCTGCGTGCTCGCCGTGTCAGCGGGCACTGTCAGTTTCGATGTTGTCCAAGCTGCCCGTAAACGGGGGCAGCAGCAGCCCGGGCCTACGTTGCGTGTTTGCTGGCGCGGTTTTTACTTTGTTGGAATCTCTGGAAGCACTTGAAACCCCAGCAGCTGCAGGAGGGCGAGGGGTGCCTCAGAGACCCCTGTCCGCTCGCCTGTGGTCAGTGGGCTGCCGCCTCCGGACTTCCCTCTGGGCCAGTCCCAGCCCGGGGAGCGGCCCTCCTCGGAGTGTTGCCACCTGGCAAAAAGCTTTCAAATTGTGTTTGAGTTGGAGCCCCAGGAAACTGCTAGGACACCAGCCCGGTGCACATCAGCCGTCCCACGGCCGCCCGTGGGCGGCTGGCCTGGTCCTGGCGCCCCGCGGTGCCTGGCCACCTGCTGTGTCCAGCCCGAGCGCGCAGCCGATGTCCAAGCTGGACGGGCTAGGGCCCCTGCTCTCCTCCGCTGCGCCGGCTGGCAGGGCTGGCGAGGTGGCAGGGGCGGACATGTTCCTGTCCGGGATCTACCGGGACACGGCGCCACACGGGACCGGGCTGCAAAACCAGACGCCCTGGGAGCCGGCGTGGACTCTGCTGAAGCGTGGCGCCACCAGACCGGGCAGCGGCCCGGGGCTGGTGAGCTGCCCAGGGCACGGGAAAGCCGGGTGCCCGGCGTGCGCGGCGCCAGCCCCTTGCCTCCAAAGGCTCTTCGGGATTTTACTCAAAGAAGGAAATCATGCGAAAGCCAAGCCGTGTGAAATGTGCACAGGAGAGCTCGTGTTCCGACTGCCGGCTGAAGGGCTCTCGGTCTGTGTCTTGGGGGTGAAGCCTAAGTGCCCCGGGGTGCCGGCGTGTGGGGAGTTTGCACGGAGCCGTTTCCTTGCAGGTGGCTGGGGCCAGGGTCGCGTGTGCCCCTGCTGGGTGCCCTGGGGTGGTGGTGTCCGCTCACCCCATCCCAAGGCCACGTTTACAAGGAGCCCCGGGCAGTCCTTCCTGGCCCCCAGCTGCCGCTGGCCGGACTCAGAGCATATTAGCAGTCCCCAGGTATCCGACAGGTACCTCCTGGGTGGGAGGAGGGGTGAGTGCTACTGGGACTTAAATGACCAGTCTGGCGAGGCCAGACTGGCTGTGAGGAAAGGACACGTTTTGGGGGACTTCAGGTCATGCCTGGCCCTGTGAGAAGCAGCACCGTGGAGGCGCTTCTGACCCTGTCCTTGGCCTGGCTGGTGCTTTGCAGTCCTTCACGTATGCCCACATGTTCTGCCTCGTGGCATGCTTGAAACAGCCCAAGGGTGGGTGGTGGGCCTGTCAGCCCATTTCACAGGTGAGCACACGAGCTCGCAGTTAGAATGCGGACGAGAGTCTCCGACGCAGGCTGACGGACAGCACAGCCTGCGCCGGGCCCGGAGAAGCCCTGCTCCCCCTGCCTGGTGGGAGGGCTGAGAGGCCCGGACTGCTCCGCGAGGCTCCGCCCGCCCAGCACCAGTGCCAGGGCCCCTCCCCCCGGGGCCCTCAGCAGCCTGTCACCGCGTGGGCGACCTGGAGCAGCGCGGGACAGGGGACGACAACTCCAGGTGCCAGCAGAGACAGACCAAGAGGCATCTCCGACACGCGGCGCCCCACGGCAAGTCTCACTTTTATTTGGGTCAGAGGCGGGGAGGCGGGTGAGACCTGGGGGATCCGTGAGGCCTGTGCGTGGGGTTTGGCCTGGGGGTGCAGAATAGTCTGGCCCAAGCCGGGGGTGCAGGGGGCTGAGGGCCGTGGCCTGGGGGCTCCATTGTTGCAGCCGCTCAAGCGTCCCCCCCGTCCCTGTTACACGTCCTGTCAAGGTGGCCTGGCCGGTTGTGCACACCTGGCCGCCCGCCTGCTGCTTCCAGCAGACATCCTCGCACCAAGACGTTGCCCTGGAGAGAGGCCCCCTCCTGCCTTTATGCTCAGCTTACCCAGCAGCAGCTCTGGGCGCCCAGCAGCACCCCGAGAAGGGGCTGGGGCCCAGCGCTGCAGCTCGTGGAGGCCCTGGGCTGGCCAGGTCAGCTGTCCCGTGAGTGCCGTGGCTGGCGCGCAGCGGTCTGAGGCGCGAGGCTGAGCAACAGGCCTTCGTGCGGCCCCGCCGGCTCCCTGGAGTGCCCAGGCACGAGCTGCCCCCCGGCGCCTCCCGGAACCCTCTTCCAGACACCCACCCGCCCTGGTTAGGGGCCCTCCTACGGGAGTACCGTGTGTCTTCCTGTTCCTGACTGGGGTGACAGGCGGCAGCTGGCAGAAGCCCCCCGTGAGGTCCGGAGACCCCCTGGGCCCCAGAGCAGGCCCCTCCCCGGGGTCACCAGGCGGGGGGCGCCTCACATTCAGGCTGGCAGTGCTGGCGGGACCTTGGCTATGGGTGAAGTGAGCCTGTGTTTGGGGGTCCCAGCCTCTCCTGGGGGCGCCGCGGTCTCCAGGCGCCATTTCACAGGAGCAGCTTCCGGATTCAGGCCCAGAGGTGCCTGGCGGGGGGTTGGGGGGGCCCAACTGCTAGGGGCCTTCACCGTGGCTGCGCCTTCTCTTACCAGCGTGCCCTGGTGGAGTCGGCCGCCCCGGGAGTGACGGAGTGGGGCCCACCCCCGCAGGCCTCAGCGCCCCTGTGGCCCCAAGGCTGTCTGCAGTGGGGGGCAGAGGGGGGGCGTCGCGCCTTGCCACAGAGGAGCCACACACGTAGGGTTGTGGAGGCATAATTTAGTCGTCTCACCTACACGCCTTCCGCTGGCTCCGGCATCAGCCCCAGAAAGCTCAGCACCAAAGGATGGGGGGAACGCAGTCCCCAAACCTGCCCGCCCCCTGCAGCCTCAGGGCCCTCCGGCCCCGGAGGCAGCTGCCCAGCGTCCTCGGCACGTGTCGTCCCGCACACGCCCGCACACTCCCACGGAAAGAAAGACGCGAAATCACTAAAGCTTATGGGGACAGAGGCCTCGGAGCGTCCTCTTCCCCGCTGGGCTGCGACCAGACTCCCTGGCCCCCACAGGGGCTCACGCAGCCTTGGCCGCCGGGCCCCCTAAGGGTGACCACGGGGTGGGCCGGTGTCCAGTCAGTCGCCGTGTGTCTGCTTGCTGTCCATGTTGCCGTACGCCGAGCCCTTGTCTATTTCCGTCACGCCGATCATCCATCGGACGCCCATGGACGCTGCGGGGACAGGAGGCAGGGAGTCAGGAGGCGCCCGGGACGTGCCCACAGGAACCACAGGGCGCAGCTGAGCGCTGGCCGGCTGGGCGCCGCTCGCGTCCCTGCCCTTGAGCCCGGCGTGGGGGTCTCAGCCCGCAGGCAGTGGGGCGGTTCCGCCGCTGGGCTTGGCCCTGGACGCCGGAGGTGCGGTATTTGGCCCGCCGGCCCGCCTTGTTCTAAGCTGCCCCGCCGGGCACCGGGCACACTGCCCCGCCGTCCTGCGCAGAGAGGGGTCTGCGTGGAGGGAGGAAGCCTAAGCAGGTGCGTGGCTGGGGGCTGCAGGGAGGCCGGGCGGCAGGGCTGCGCTCAGGCCGTGGTGCCAGCCCCGCCTGGCCGAGGGCAGGCACGGCACCCTCCCGGCAGGGCCACGGCTCTCCCGTGGCCTCCCACCTCAGCCACAGCAGGGGCAGGCGCAGCTGTGGTGAGCAGGCCCGTCCAGGAGAAGCACCCCTGAGTAGCCTAGTGCAGTCCCGGGGGGAGGGGGTCCAGGAGAGGCCCCTGACCCCGAGGGGGCATGATGGGCAGGGACGCAGCTGCGCCAGCCCTGCCGGCCGGGCCTCTGGACATGAGGTCCCTCGAGCCTGGCCCCAGTGTCCTGAAGCCCCTTCCAGTGTCCCGTCACTGGGCTCTGCCCCTTTATGTTCCCTGCCGCCGCCTGCTCTGCACATACCCACAAATAAGACGAGGACGAAGCTGGCCAGCGTCAGGGAGGACCCGCTGCTGATCATGTTGACGAGGAAGCGGAAGAAGGGGTAGAGCAGCAGGGAGGCCCAGAACAGCCAATTGGCCAGGGTCCAGGGCCGCCGCGGGGGCACGATGGGCGTCTCCGGGAAGGTGCCCGTCCTGTAGTATTCCTCCTGGAAGGCGTCCTGCGGGCAGAGGGGGCCCTGAGCCCCAGGCCGACTCGGGGCCCCTCCCGGGGCAGGGCCGGGGCAGCCACGCGCGCAGAGGGGCCGTGCACAGCACGCAGGTCGCCCGGATCCCCAGCCCCACCCCGTGCAGCATTGGCGCCAGGCCCCGCCTTCCGCGCCCCGGGACCTCTCTGTGCGCCCCCAGCTCGGGCGGCCAGCTAGCCCCACCCTTCGAGCAGCAACAGCCCAAGCTGCAGGCCCTCCCGCCCCTGTGCCTGGCGCTGTTACGAGGCTGTTAGATTCGGGGCTGCGGCCGCACCAGCGTGTGACCCGCTGGGCCGCCACGTCCCGGCTCTAGGGGCCAGTTTCTGGGGAGCACAAGCTCTCACAGCTGCTTCACGTACCCCTCGGCGGGGCTGTGGCCCTGTGGACAACCCGACACCGCAAAGCCCAGAGCGCCAGAGCCCGAGGTGGAGGCCAGCGAGGGTTAGGCCGCAGCCCCCTCAGAAGGCTTGGCGCCAGGGCCCCCCAGGCCGACCTGGGGGGCAGGGGTGGGCGCAGCCCCCACAAGCCTCTCTGAAATCCTGCAGCCCCTCAGCTACCTGCTCCTTGCACACCCCTGGAAGGCGGGTCCCCAGCTCGGGAAGACAGCCTTTGGCGGGAGCCCCAGTCCTCGACCTGCCTGCCTTCGTCTGGGCTCCGGTGATGAGCAGGGAACAGCCAGACCCCGCGCTCCCGGGAGCCTGGGCGGTGACAGCCAGCAGGTGAGCGCTCGCCGCGCCGCGCCGCAGACCGCCAGGCCCTGCGGCCAAGGCCCGACCGGCCCGGCCGGGCGTCCCCTCCAGCCCACACCCCCGCGCTGACCTTCTGCTGGTACAGCTTGTGCAGCCAGGCCGAGCACTGGTCCTCGTCTTCCGGCACCTCCTCTAGGGGAATCCGCCTGCAAAGCGGGGCACGGTGGGCGGTGAGGCGCCGCCCGCGTGCTGCCCCTGCGGCGTGAGGCGGGAGCTCGATGGCGTGGGCGAGGAGACGGTCGCCAGGAGGAAAGGAAGTGGGGCCGCGGCCCTCTCCAGTGGCGCAGCGGGTTAGGACGCAGCCTGCAGCTGGCCGCAGCCGCTTCCGCATGAGCTCGATCCCCGCCTGCCCCGGAGGTGACCACACGGTGCGGCAGACCTCTCCTGGCCCGCCCGCTGCTCCCCTCAGCAGTGTACAGCGTCCATCTGCCTGTGCTGCTCCCCACTCTGTCTCCGGGGAAGCCTCTCACCACTCCTGCACCCCAGTACTGTATGCACAAATAAAGCTTTTCAAAAATAAAATGTAAAAAAAAAAAATGGGGCCACATGCACCTTGCAGCCTGGCGGGAAGGTGACCTCTCACTTGCTGGAAGCCTCCAGAGCTGCCTCCTAGGGCCCCGGAGGCAGCCCGGGGTGGAGCGACCCCGCGTCCTCCCAGCCACGTGACGGCAGCGTGCGGTGGCCGGGCGCCTCTCCCCGGGGCTGCCGCCGGCCTCTCCAGCCTGAGGCAGACCTTCGGCCACACTCTGACAAGTCATGAGTGTTCCCCAGGACGGGCGAACCAGGGACCCTAGGGACCCTTCGCTCCCCATAGGCAGATCTGGGCCCCAGGGTCGACCCTTTTGCAAGGGCCGCCCTGCAGGGGAGGCTGTGGCCGGCCCGTCCAC